CGCTCCACGTCCTGAACGACCTCCCTAGTCAGAGGTTCTACGTGATGACGCTGAACGCGTAAATAGCAGTTATCATATAAGAAACAGCTTAAAAGCCGAAGACTAGATTTCTGTGCATGGCATTTTCTGATGTCACGCTTGGGGCACAATTCAACTAATACCATCCCAGTCTTCCCAAAACAGGCCAGTTTTTAGCGACTTTTTGTTCTGAAAAGCAGATTCGCGTCAAAGTTCGGTTCTAGGGTAGTGAATCACCAAATCTGCTGAAAACTTGTTCCCAGGGTAGTTTCATCTCCTAAACACGGACATCACATCCGCTCGTCCTGGAAGTGCCTGGCGCCCGCTCCACAGGAGCCGGCGCCAAATACCCTTGATTATTAAATCCGCTGAATACCCTTGATTATTAAATCCGCTGAAAACCTGTATTCGGGGGTCATTTGACATCCTGTTTACAAATATGACATTCATTCTTGGCGGTGGCGTTAATTGAGCAAGCTACGATCAACTGCGCTCAGGCAGAGAATGGTCTAACAGGAATCACTCCTTCTCCCAGGCTAAGTCCTAGCGAAGTGCTCAGCGAAGTGCTAAAGGCGCTAACGTTGGAAAACGAATGCTATTTTCGTGATCAGGGCATCAAACAGCTCTATTATGCAAATCTATCGATTTCGATGCAAAAGGGTATCAGATTGAAGGGTGTTCGGGCCTTCATCCGATGGGTGTAGCGGTGTTCTATGTAACATGAACATTGAACTGGGTTATAAAGGATAAAGTCTTCGCCGTTGATCAATCCCTTTGTGGGATGCGGCACGCATTCTACTTCCATTCAGAATCGTAGTGGCTTATTGAATGCGATGTGGCCTGAACTGGGTCATATGAATATTTATTATGTAAATTATACGACACAAAAAGGTTAAGGGAGAGAGGAGAGGAGGAGGCCGGCGGAGCCCGGCCAAGGCTTGAGACGACCAACTCCTAGCGTGAGTTGAGAGACGACATTCTGTCTGCTGTCTGGCTAGGCAGCAGCTTATATACTCTCCACCGCCGGTTACGAAAAGCTGGACGGCAGGTGGCATGCGACGATTGGCTCTTCTTGCCTTCGCAACGAGACAAGGGTGTGGCGCCAAATGGCGTTAGGGCTAATGAATGTCATGTTCATCAGGGTAGCGAATAACCCTGTACGCAAGTTAACACCCATTTTCGTGGAAAATGTGGTGGCGCCAAATTGGCGCCTGCATCAAAAACGAGTGTCATACTCACGGACATCGAGCTCCCCTTATGGTCAAAGTTCGACCAAAAATTTTTTTGGAGTCATCGGGGTAGTTACAGTTGAATAGTGCCGCGGAACCCAATTCAAGGAACGTAATTCACAAATCATCTAAGGGCATCCAGCGACCCTTCGAAGCTTCGTCTGACCTACTCTCTCTATTATGGAGACTGTTATGGAAACCGTTTGATGTGGCGGTTAACACGTTGGCGACATTGCGTCCCACTGCTGGGACGCACCTTTTTTGCCGCGTGGGACATTGCGTCCCACTGCTGGGATGCGGCATGGGTAAAAAACCAATTTGAAGACGTTTCGAATTTTCAACAGCTGCATATTGTCCATGAAGGCATTGTAGAATATACAGTAGCTGTAAACCGTGCAGTTGTGTCATTGAGAGTATTTTACCGAGGAGACAAACGAAAGTGATTTCCTAGGAAAAAAAAATTCTTGGATATATAGAACTGAAGCTCCACATGCAGATAGCTAATGTGATAAGGTAACTTTCAACAATAGCAGATCTGAATCGAATCCAATTTACCACCTCTGGCGCGAAAATATTCCTTTTTTGCGACCTTGTTCCCACGCTCCACGTGAATGAGGCGGGAGTATTCCATGAAATTTCAGGGTTTATCTTGAAAGTAAACAAGAATAGCGAAGCCTTACTAGCTTCTGCAATGAATTCTGACCATTCTTCAATTTTTTTGGCGTATAAACGCCCTAGCATTTATGCGCATTCTTCGAAAATAGGGAAAAACTGCTTTGTCCCACGCGGCAGACACGCGAAAAGGCGCCTTGTCGCCAATGTGTTAAATGGCGAGCTGGAGATCATTAGCTCTTTCTCTAATCAATCACATTTTTAAAATTTCTCAGTGATGTCGGCGCACTTGGACGAGGAGTTTTGCATGCTTCCTTGGACTACTGCCAATCCCTTTTGTTCCCTTCTATAGAGGCCATAAACTCTTTCAAAGGTATGCAATACTATAACCTTCTGAATGTGACAAGATTCACCCTTCTCCTTAACGGAATGACGACGATGTGTCATGAAACGGTGTGGCAACAAACGTATATCTGCACAAGGTTGAAGCGAAAGACGCTGTTTCAGTAATTCTAGGTAACAACTAAATGGGTGCATCTTCTGGCGATGCAAATTGCAGAGTGGGCAAGAAATGATGAACAAAACGTATAATCATACCTTCTCATATTTCAACACGATATTGTCCCTCTCTTCTAATTCTCGCAACTCTGGATCGTCCTCATCACCGCTTGATGTCTCTTCGTCGGCTGAAACATTGAGCAAAAGTTGTCCGATTCCTTCAAGCTTCCGTGCATTTATAGAAGACTGTTCGTCCCTTGACGCTTCTGTCCTGAGTAGACTATCCTTCTTTGAGAAATAGAAACTAACGTCATCCAAACTCAATAGCTGCGTCAATGTACTGATGATCTACTGCACTAATGGGGGTGCGGAACCACAACGCCTTGCATCCGTGTTCATTCCCGCTAATTCAGGAGAATGCTATTCAACTCTACTACCCCAAAAAGTGAAGAAAAATTTTTTCCCTGAAATTTTGTCCACGGGGGTATTCGGTGTCCCGATCACGAATACAGCGCTCATTTCCGAAGCTGTATTTGTGGACTTGAAATTCGTATACTCAAATCCAGAAACGTCCACCTTTCTCACAAATTCGATGTAAATTTGCATAGTAGGGTTACTTGATGTCCTGATCACGAATACCGCATTAGTTTCTAGCCCTGGCGCCATCTGGCACCATTAGGCGCTAATCTAGCGCCACTAGCTTATTCATTAAAATCGATAAAAATCTGCATGATAGTGTTATTTGATGCCCTAATCACAAATATGACATTCATTTCCCAACAGCAGTGCCATCTAGTGCTCTTCTAAGGCTGAGCTAGCGAGGAGTGATTCCCTTTAGGCCAGGCTCAGCCTTAGCAGAGCGCAGATGATCGTAGTGTCTTCCATCAGCGCCAGCGCCAAAAATGAATGTGATATTTGTAATCAAGATGTCAAATAACCTCCGTATACAAGTTTTCAGCGGATTTGGTGACCTAGGGTATTTTGGCGCCGGCGCCTGTGGCGCGGGCGCCAGGCGGTTTCAGGTCGAGCGGATGTGATATTAGTGTTTAGGAGGTCAGATTACCCCCGGGTAGTTTTAAGCGCGGGCGCTATACAGTTCCACGCCAAGTGGATGTGATATTCGTGTTCAGGAGGTCGAATTACCCCTAGAACCCAACTTTCAGCCAAATCTGCCCCCGTAGAAAAAAGTCGATCAAGATCCGGCCTGTTTTCGAAAAACTGGGGTAGTAGTAGCTGAATAGTGCCGGAATTAGATTCAAATGTGCGGTCGAGTGCCCCCGACGTAAGGTAAACGGCAAAATCGCACTTGAGCATCCGGCGCGCGGTCCCGGCACGATTACCCTGAAGACGAAGCGCGCGCTCATACGATCGCATAACCACGAAGTATGAAAGCGCTCGTATTCTGCACAATCGAATGAAAGCGCTCGTATTTTGCACAATCGAAAATCAGGCGCGCACCTGACGAATTTTAGAGGAAGCAATTAGATGTTTCAATTCGAAATGCCTTGAATGACTTGCACAATGTTGGCTATTATAATGTACACTTAAAGATACATAGTACGCTCACACACATTGGTGTATGAGACTATCAGCCCCCCAGCTGTCGATGTGTCGTGGTCCCCCCGCCCAAACATGCCCAGGAATGGAGATACAGGACCGTGAAACACGCTAATTCCTCCATGCTCCGCCTTACACCTTTTTGCGGCGCAGATTCCCGTCCTTCATAACATCCGTTGCAAGCGCGCGTGTCGCGTGCGGCTCCTTGGCACTTTGCCAAGTCCTTTAATTGCGCTTTCAAATACAAGTAAAACGCAATTTCCTGATGCGGATAACATTGGAGGTGCTGCAAAATAAGAACAGAAGATGATGACGAGGGTCAGAACTTAAAAGCAACTGTGCCACTTCTGCAACATCCCGGAGGCCGCGTATTTCCACGAAACATGAAAATAAAACGGCATACTCGTTAGTTTGATACAAGCAAAACGCAATTTCCTGATGCGAATAAAATTTTAGGTGTTGCTCATACTTCAAAATCCATGTACAAGGAGATGAAGATGACACAGGCTAGAAATGAAGCACAACGATGTAAATGTAAAAAACAAAAATGAAAAAATCAAGGAAAGGCAAATTAGTTGAAATCGCCTGTAAATTTCTACGATCCGGCGCGAATCCGGCGCCAAAGCCATAGAAATACTTAGAATAAACGAGTGGGACGCTTGGATTGTTTTTATTCTCATGTTTTCTGGGAATGCGCGGCCTCTGATGGATTCTGCGGATGCAGCCGAGTTGCTCTTGAGTTCTGGCCCTTGTCATCATCTTCTGTTCTTATTTTGTAGCACCTCCAATGTTATCCGCATCAGGAAATTGCGTTTTACTCGTATTTGAGAGCGCAATTAAAGGACTTGGCAAAGTGCCAAGGAGCCGCACGCGACACGCGCGCTTGCAACGGATGTTATGAAGGACGGGAATCTGCGCCGCAAAAGGTGTAAGGCGGAGCATGGAGGAACTAGCGTGTTTCACGGTCCTGTATCTCCATTCCTGGGCATGTTTGGGCGGGGGGACCACGACACATCGACAGCTGGGGGCTGATAGTCTCATACACCCTCAATGTGTTTGAGCGTACCATGTGTCTTTAATTAGGAAAAATCACCCATTCAAGAGCGAAGTGAACCCTTTTGATCTCCAGTGTGTGTAATCACTTTTCAGATGTCAGTCACTGTAAGGAATGTAGAAAGTCTCGCCATACTCAACCAACTTGATGGGTCAAATCCAAAAGCTGGCCAAAATGCTTCACCAGAACGGCTCCACTGAGTCAACCGGGAATTATCTGAACCAACCCGTTGAAAGTTGAAGGCATAAATCAAAGAGTACACCTCCTTTTCCCCAGCTAGAGTACTTTGTCAGAAGCGTTGCTTATAAATGTGCCCCATGCTTCGCATTGCTGAAGGCGCACTGTATATATCACCGACAAAATGTTACACTCTAACGTGGCATGTAACTGCAGGACCCGCAAAATGAACGTGCCAAATTGCTTGAATTGCTGCGACAATGATGAAGTGTACAGAGGCTGTTTCCAACTGCTCCTGCAGATCTTGAAGAAGCCGTTTCGAGCGCAGATTGCTTTAAGTTAAGGAAGCAGGTAGACTTTAGAGGAAATGTCCCCACTTTGATGGGCGAGGTGCCTAAACATGATGAGAAGGCGTTTGTTCCTCCTTACAGGACTTTACCTATAATTCAACGGAAATTTTGTGGGAAACGCCACATCATCAACATTATTATACAAGATTCGATGCTTTTGTGAGTATAGTGTGGTGATATTCCCATGTTGAGTTCATAGTAGTCAACTTAAGATGTTACTCGCTGGTGACGATAGTGACCATGATGCCCTAGTGCCGAAACCGCGCCGCGACCGCCGCTCACAAAGGCCGGATGCTGAAGTGCGATTTCGTCGTTTACCGTCGCCCGAGTGCCCCCTCCCCAGCTACGTTAGCGCCTTTTTAGTCGCCAGTGTAAATGTACCCAAGACTACAGCAGATGAACAAACAAGAGCCTATGAATAAGCAGGTGCAAAATCAAATAAAAATCATGCGACAAGTTGATATTACATGCTATTAGGTTGTCGGAAAGTTCTGCAGGTTTTGAGTGTTTAACTTTAAACGATCATAACTTTCTTAACACTCATCGGATTTAATCCAAATAAGCACCATTCGAATCAGCACACTTTTGCCAATGTGACAGCAGTCGAGAAATCCCATCAAAGAAAAAACTGGGTGGTCGAGAATTCACGAAATCCACTAAGCGATCGCGAAGTCTGAACGCCTCTATCATACATGACCCATTTTCATCACAGGTGACAATTCGGTCCAAAAACAGGTCGTTTCTGCTGCGCAAAAGCAATGCAGAAGGAACCTCGAGACGTGCCGATTCCTGCCGGTCACTCCGATTGTGGGGCACCCAATTGTCGAGTTTTTTCACCTTCCCAATGCGTTCCAGACCATCTGCAACAGTGGATTTGCCTAGCTCTTCTGCTATCTCTCGAACTGTTTGGGATGGGTCAGCCTCCAAAATCCCCCTAAAATCCTCGTCAGATATTGCTTTAGGTCGACCGCTATGAGGTTCATCTTCAAGGCTGAAATCTCCAGAACGAAATTTGTTGAGCCATTGCCGCACAGTGCTTTCTCTAGCACTATTGGGCCCCCACACCTGGTTAATTTGTTGAGCTGTTTCGATTGCGGATTGCCCCAATTTATAGTCGAAGAAAAAAATCGTCCGAAGTGCTCTTTTCACATGCTTGAAAAAATCTTGAAAAAAGGGGTTCATCAAGCAATGGTGAAACGGCAATTATACCATCAGATAGCGCAAAGAAATGTACTACTGAGACGCAAGGGAGAATGAGTTTTTAATCAGCAATGAATGTACAAAAAATAGTAACACAAAACGCTGAGAACTTTCCGGACAACCTAATATTAGGTCATCCCATTCAAAAGTGCCGACGGTTTTATTCGAATAAAACAAAGAGGAGAATAGATAAAAAGTAATATTTTGGCTTCAAAGTAAATCCCTCCTTCACCAATGACCCGCTCCCAGTGCCCCGAAAGCCTTTGGACCTCTGGTACCTTCGATTTTTCAACAAGTGCGAGTAAATTGCTGTTGATGCCAATTTCGGCGAATGACAAAACATTGTAGCGTTTGCCGTCGGAGAGTACTCTCGACTGACGAGAACAATTGGAATCGCTCGGCTTTAATCGCTCGGCTTTATGTCGGGCGAATGGGGCGATTGAACCCAGGTCTCAGTATTGTTTGTGTCCCAGCACTGCCCTACAATACAGTTACTCGGGGTCTGGCACTATGACGAGCAACGGTGGCCTTCTTGTAGTTGTGTGGTATCATCCATTTGTCGATCTGATTGCCGAGGAACAGGCAATATACACCGACAGCGACGATTTTATTCTCTGTATAGAGCCGCTTGAAAGCCACAGTGTGAAATCCTTCGCTATGATGATCATCCACTTGCGCCCACGTAACTCCTCATGGTAGAACTCGGGCGGCTTCTCATCTGCATTCATACAAAATTGACGATTGTGAGTTTTGGCTCGAGGTCCAAGACCACCCATTTCATCTAGGGCCGGGGTGCGTTTTCACAGTCGTGAATGACATCTCATGCTGAGAACATTACTGCTAGAGGCACAGAATAGGTACTGCGTTCGTGCTTCTACAAGAAAATTAGGTACCCATGCGCACACCCTCTTGACCATCCTCAGTTTATCGGACATAACTCGGGCAGCAGTTGCAGCTGGGATGTCAGACTCGCGGGGAAGCTCGACAAGGGTCCAGGCTCTGTGATCAGACATTCAGCGCTTTTTTTCTTGTGCAGGATGAACATTATGGGACCATCCACGACAACAAATTTTTTCCTTTCTTCCTTCTTCGGGCTCCTGAACCAAACCTTCCACCTTGTATTTCGAGAACACCATTACACACAACTACTGGTCCGGCGCCGGTCGAATTTGAGCAGCGCACTTCCCTCTTATGACGTCTGATTTGAAATCGGGCGCTGATTTTCACCACTCGGGCTTCTTTTCAATTTCTCGAGAACTTCTTCTGTGGGTAGGTTCGCCAAATTTCACAGATACACAGCTAAAGGTACTAGCCTCCAAATGTATAGTAGCCCGCTTCCACTTTTGAATGGGATGACCTAGTAGTAAAAAACTAAGAAAACTAAGAAAACTTTACCTGGATTGTAAGTACCTGGTCCGTACACATCCGAAGTTTCCTCGCTAGCATCATCACCCAGAATATCGGTTTCTTGCACCGGATCGTAGAAACACATCCCATCATAGGAAATAGTGTGCCCACCGAATCTATGAACGAACAGTGTGTATTAGGATGTGCAGGTAGCACCGGCAATAAGTCATTGCGCGCACGAAGGCGTAATGACTCAGCCTTGCTACTGCACATGGTGCTTAAATCACGCGCGCGAACCCCTTATCAAACGTCGTCGCGATTAAGTTGTCCTGACCCACACTCATGAGCGTTGCGTTGCATGTATAATGTTGTTATGTTTAATAAGAAATGATGTTTTGGTAAGCATCACTGCTAGATAGATCAAAAGAACTTACTCATCATCATAAAGATCAAAAGAACTTACTCATCATCATAATACCGGAGCATACTATTCGACAGCCCTCGATGTGTTTTATCGTTCATCTGAAATTGCAAACTCCCAAATACACTGCGGAGCATAATCATAGTTCCACCCATGAATCTCACAAAATCCCGTCTTGCGTTTTCAAAAATGCCCCATACAAAAAATGTGGTAATTACCAATACCAATTCGCATGCCAACACCAAACTCTAGCTTGAAAAACAATTTTTTTTCGTCAATTTTTTCAAAAATGGTCGTTCTGACAACGCAGCAAAATGATAGTTCCACCGAACAAATCGAATATCCAACAACAAGTGTACAATAAAATGAATAAATTTTGATCCAGTAATCTACTGGAACTCTATTTCTCCAATTAAGTTGGAAAATACGGTTGCCCATGTTCGATTAGAGATTTTAATAGGCTTTCGGCCGACTGCCCCAATGATTAACTCCCTAAGCTCACGGACATTGTGGAATTGTGCATTACTCTCATGGATCATACGCACCATGAAGCCCCTCACATCCTCGATTGGGTTTTAGTCGGGGCTACTCGCTGGCCAGGGCAAAAGAGCGGCTTGGTGATGACGGAATCACGCTCGAGTCATGAATTTACACCTAATCTTTCATGAAAACGGGACTTTCTTGGTGAATTCTACACCAGAAAGGATGGAGACGTCGCCGCATGACGTTTAGGTAAACGGAAGAAATCTTTTTTTTATGGAACACAGGTTCAGACGTGCCATTGATGCGATGGCAGCCCAGTCTACATCCTCTAAAGTTCCGCCCGGAAAAATGAAACTTGTTTTCCTCAGGTCGTGCCAGCGGAATCGGTTTTCGTCGGAGCCGTCGCAGTTGAATTTTTTCTCATCAGAAAACACGACCGCGAGAAAAAAACTGAAAAAACAACACAGACAAGCAGTAGGGCACCGCAGCCAAAAGCTAACCTCACTCCAGTTGGGTTCGGCAACATCTTCTAGCAAAGCCTGTTCGGTGACACCATGATTTTCTGTTAGAAACAGTGCCTAACTCATATCCTCCTGTAAGTAAACTGAGGAATTCTTCACGCGCCCAACGTATCCTTCGAGACATTATCCTCCGAGATGACTTAAAGACATTCCCCGCGATCAAGTGGTCCTCAAAATGACTTCGTGCTTTTTGGAACCCTCTACGCCTTGACGAAGATGATACCACTTTCATCCCTCAATATGGCGCGATAAGGAAGTTATAGCGATTTCCACAAGGCTCGCTAGGCTCGCTGACACGGTAGGTGGACGAGGCGTCCGGTCCCGAGCTGCTTCCGTCCCTTTAAAGTATCCTATTTCGAAAGTCGGGACGCAATTGCGGCTGCCGCATCGATTTCTGGCAGCCACGTCCGGCACACTCGTCCAGGCCCCGCCCCCACTGCTAAAGGGAGGTCCGTGTTCCGGGTGTTCGCGAGGTTTTTTTTTCCACTGGGGGGTTACAAATGGGCCACTGCTTCGTTACTGGGCACCAATTACCCGAACACTTTATCGCGGGAACTGTCTTTAATTTTCCGACACGACTCTGCAGAGTCGGATGCTTTCCTCAGAATACGGCGCTTATTCCGATGCAGGGAAGACGAATGTCCAGAGCTCTTCTCAACTCAATATCCTGCAGGTTGCCTTGACAAAATTGTTGATAGCATGATGAGTGCGGCCCGAATCCCGCGCGATTCGACGGTTCGACAGTTTTTGAGTCTTCTTTGCGATAATCTGTCCTTTTTCGAGGTCCATTAATGAAGTTCCACTTGCCATAGCCTAGAAGAGGCAAGAAGTCATAATGATGAGAAGTTTCACCGAACAAAAATGAGATGCAGCCGGAAAATATGCGGTGGAACTATATTTTGCTGCATTGTCAGAACGACCATTTTTCAAAAATTGACGAAAAAAAATTGTTGTTTCAAGATAGTAGTTGCGATGCGACGAACACTGGGAGAGGAATGATTTATTGAACCGGCACAACCCTTATGCATTCATCAATCACTATCAATCCTCTCTTCCTATCATCCTCACTCCCTCCATTCTCACATTCCTCACCGCTCCCCTACACCTCCCCCTAGTGACCACCCGGTCACTCCAAGTTCCTGGGGGAGCGGCCCTTCTCCACTCTACCACAGTAGACCACAAGTATCGCCGCTCTTTATGTATTGTCCTCATATTGTCTGACAACACTGTACCAACACAACTCTTTATTAAACACTATAGCTCCTCGTTGCCGCCGTCCCCTCGTACCGGGGACGACGACTCGGGCCTCCTGGCCCTACTTCGGGTACGGCTTCTACTACGGGTACGGGTTCGCTGGCGAGCCCGTCCTCGTCTAGCAGCCGCGTCCTCACTTCTACTTCGACTTCTTCTTCTTGGTCGATTCCGATTCCTGCTTCTCGAACGGCTTCTACTCGTCCATCGCCGATGTAGCTGCATCTCTCGCCGCAGGCTTCGCACCGCCGTCCACAGCGCTTTACTGCGCTGTGGACGGCGCCTTCTTCTTCCTTGTGATGGCGGGGCGGGAGCTCCCGGCTGCACGGCCACTGTGGCCATCACGGGAACTCCCCCCGCCCAGCTCGGCGTCCCTATCTGCAGGCCAGGAGGCTGCTGGACAATGATACAGGGGGGGGGTTGTAGAACGGGGCTTGTCCCGTCCCCCCTGCAGCCGTAGTGGTCGGAAGAGCAAACATAACTGAGGGACCACACCCTCCATCCATCTTTTATAAGCACCGCGGTGATAACTTTTATTTTTACTTTCGTCTTCATTCCCCAACATCCTTATCCAGTTTATTTTCCTGCGCTTCTCATTTTCCTGGAACTCCTTCATCCTAGCGGTAGCCTGCCGCTTCCTTTGAGATCGCCGAAGCGTCATCCTTTCGGTAGGTTCTCCAGCTTGTACAGGGACTCTCCGGTCCCTCTTCGCTAACCATCCCTCATCTACTAACTCCCACGGAATCACCCTTTCTTTCATTTGATCCGCATGGGTTTTTCTTACTCCCATGCCAAAATGGACTTCATACGTACTGGAGCCTAGAACTTTGACTACAATGCCCGGTATCCACCGGTTCCCTGACGCCGGTGTAGTTCCGGATAAATACTTCTTGTCCAACGCTGAACTTTCTCTCCTTTTTTCCTCTATCATAATTCTTCTTCATAGTATTTCTATACCTATTTGAGGACTCTATATTCTCTGTCCTGAGTATATCCAGAGTCGTCCTCAAATTCCTTCCCATCAGCATTTCCGCGGGTGCCTGTCCCGTGGCTGCATGGGGGGTAACCCTGTACTCGAACAGAAGATCCAATACCGCATTCTCCAGGCTTTTGTTAGATCGTAACCCTTTATACAAGGTGTTTTTGAAAGTTTGCACGAAACGCTCGGCTTCTCCATTTGAATTAGGATGGTACGGCGGTGCGAATATCTGCTGAATACCTCTGTTGCAGCAATATTCACGAAATTCCGCCGAAGTGAAGGGGGTCCGTTGTCGGAAACCAACTGCTCCGGCAACCCATTCCTGCTGAAAACCTCCTTCAGCGCCATTATCGTTTTCTCGGCTGTGGTGGTGCCCATTTTGGCCACCTCCGGCCACTTGGACTTAGCATCCACCAGGATCAGCCATTTTATCCCCCCTTTTGTCTCACAAAAATCAATGTGTAGCCTTTGCCAGACTTCTTTCGGCTCCTCCCATGGGTGTAGAGGTACCTTCACCGGATCTCTACCCATCACTGCACATGTGCTGCATTTCTTTGCCATTTCCTCCACCGCCCTATCCATCCCTGGGAACCATATCTTGGTTCGTGCCAGGCTAATCATCCTATTCTTCCCATAGTGGCTATTATGCAGCATTTTTAACACTACTGACTGAAACTTCTTGGGGATAACCACCCTATTTCCCCATAATAAGCACCCATTATGTAGTGACAAAGCCGTCCTCTTGACCGCGTACGGCTTCAGCTTATCATCTTTTACCTTCATTGGCCAACCCTTCTGCATATAATTAACTACAGTCTGCAGCAGAGGGTCCTCTCTCGTGGCCTTAGCTATTTCCTCCTCTACTACCGGCAGATTTTCCATCGCTTCTTCTGCCATTTGCTGCACATGCAATTCATTTACTACCATTTCAGAGCTGGGCAACTCTCTCGGATCAGGTAATCTCGACAATCCGTCCGCATTACCAAAGTCGGTAGTCTTCCTATACTCTATTTCGAACGAGTACAACATAAGCCTCAACGCCCATCTGTGCAGCCTCTTTGCTGCTATTACCGGCAGCCCCTGTTTGGGACCAAATATCCTCACTAACGGCTGATGATCCGTTAAGAGGGTAAAACGGCGACCATAGAGAAACTGATTGAATTTCTCAACACCGTATACTATGCCCAACGCCTCTTTTTCTATTTGGGCGTAATTGCGCTCCTGTTTCGTCAAAGAGCGCGATGCGTACGCAATAACTTTTTCGGTACCATCTTCGTACCTATGGTATAATACTGCACCAATACCATATTCTGAAGCGTCGGTAGCTAATACTACCGGAATATCTGGATTATAATGTGCTAATGTATCCGCCGCCGTTAACTTTTCACGTATCTGGCTAAACGCTGCTTTCTCCTGTGCACCCCACTTCCAATACCATATTCTGAAGCGCTCATAGTTCGAGTTGCCTACCTCCTGCAAGAAAATTAGCCGCTGCTCCCTTTCTTCTGTAACCTTCCTCAGTACGAGGAAGTTGGAGAACAGCTTCCACCAGGTTCTCCACGACGTCCCGGGAACATATGGTCCCGGGGACCGACCTCGATACACATCTGTACCGGGATCGGACGTCCGTGGAACCCCGATGGAGCTGCCCCCCGCTTCGGCCTTGACCTCCGTCATCGTCGATGTTCTTCCTTGTTCTTGATTGTTGTCTTCTATCTTCTTGTCTGCGTCGTCGGTCTTCTTCGCTTGACGTCGCCGGCCTTCTTACTGCTTCTTCGGTTCGCCTGATCGCCAGTTGCGATGCGACGAACACTGGGAGAGGAATGATTTATTGAACCGGCACAACCCTTTTATGCATTCACAATCACTATCAATCCTCTCTTCCTATCATCCTCACTCCCTCCATTCTCACATTCCTCACCGCTCCCCTACACTAGTGATTGGTGTCGGCATGCGAATCAGTATTGGTAATTTTCACATTTTTGTATGGGAGTTGGAGTTTGGAGTTATGTTTGTATGTTTTTTCACACCGTTTTTGAAAACGTCGTGTGAGACGGGATTTTGTGAGATCCATGGGTGGAACTATGATTATGCTTCGCAGTGTATATGGCAACACAACTAAAGCCAGCGATAGGCCTCAACAATTCCATAGACTAAATCCAATGATAAAGTTAACGTTTTTCGATATGTAATAAGAGCTCTTCCGCAGTGCTATCAGGAAGTATACAACGCAAGAAAGGGACAGCATTATGCTTGTAGCGCATTCATGATGTGATGATGACTGGTCAGCCTGCATCTCATTCTACGCGACAAGAGAATAAGATTGTCAGCGAATCGACGTCTTGGGGAAAGCGCGCTACAGTAGTGTACGGATATCGGTCGATTCGCTTACTCTTCCAAATGCAGATATGGCAATACTTTTCTTCGCACGCATTTTCCTAATCTCCGACTTTCTCATTCCTACGAGTTGCAAAGCATGAACGCAGTTTTAGACCCCAGGAAGTTTCACCACCCCCCCCCCCACCCCCGCCAGGTGAGAGCGTGTCTTTGATATCACCAGCCGTTACAGAAATATTTAAGAATAAAGATTAAGCTTGAGAGTTATAAAAAGAACGACTGCATTATCATCGAATAGGAACTGAACAAAAGAAAACGAGTTACCGATGCATCCCGTGAAGTCGTATCGACACTGAATCGCCGTTCTGCCGGATGGCCTTGCGACATGGCCTAAGCGGAGAGCGGCACAGTAGAGTTAGACGTTCGCCGAATTTATCTGAAAGATTCCTCAAAAGTACATATAATAGCTGAACAATGTTGGTGGCCCGCAATTGCGATTACTTCTTATTTATGTCCTAGACGCAATATGTGGGTTTAAAGACAGTCCCCGCTCAAGCAATTCGTAGGTGTCCTTCCTTGTATTAGGTTGTTGCATAAGTTCCCCTCCCCTGATTTGATCCTTCCGTATTTCGTTTGCATGGAGGTTGGTATTTCGTCATCACGTGTGCGTGACGTGTACATGATACTCTTTCACCACACTAGCTATCACTCACCCACCCTGCATTTGCAGGCTACAATGCCGCACAATTACCAGTGCAAAACCATGTCACAGTGGTGATTGTGCGGCATTGTGGCCTTCTTCGGGTCCCAGCCCCGTCCTTCTGGGACGATGGAATCGACAAGCTGCCTGAGCGTTGGCGTCGAGTAGTGGATGGTGATGGTGCATACCTCTAATCTTCAGGCTGGTTCGCTATTGAGATATTTACAAAAAAGTCGGGGAAAAAATCTATGCAACGACCTAATACAAGTAGTCTGCTCCCCATTATCTGAGATTATCTCCCTTTCGCGACTTCACAGTGAGTAACAGAGGCGCTGTGGTCTTCATAAAAAGCCGTTCTGACGCCTCTTTAGTTGCCCCGCCCACCGATACTCAAATGCTATTTTCTTTGTTTGCTATGCTTCTGTTTTTACTCGCTGCTTTTCGTTTTTATTTTCACCGGTATATGGCGCAAAAGCCTGGATGACGCAAAAAACTATCAGTGAGCCAGAGGCGGCAGGATATCACCTTGCTGACATAAAAGTAACGTTCGGAGAAGTCATCCGAGAGGCTGCCAAGTCCTTCCTTAGCTATGGTATTTCCATGATTTTCTTGCTTTTTCTTCCCTGGAGTCATTTAGCGACTACTGATTCGTAAATGAACGCCACTATCCACAGTATGCAGTCGCAAGTTGGTCTTTGAATATTAATGAAATAATTTCGCTATATAAGACATACTAACACAATGCGGACAGGAAGTTTACGGTAATATACAGCGAGAATTTCAGGAGACGGGGGCCTCCCTCGCGGGCTGATGGGGTCATGCCACCTTCGCGGCGAAGCGTGCGACAAGTAGCGCGAGTTCGGTGCTGCTCTGCCGGTTATGAAATTCGTTGTTGAATCAAACGATTGCCTAATTCACACACCACAATATCCATAATCCACCACGAATCGTCTTTATATCAATATCGATCTTCTTTGTAGAAATCCCTGTGCAATCTGATGTTTTTTTTTACTCACTTTCATTGAAGTTCCTCGACGGCCTTTAATCCCTTGGGTTAAGCAAGTTACTCCAAGAAGAGGACGTGTTACCCCTCCCCTCCTTTCCAACATCTGATCCACTTATAAAAGCAATGACGTAAGGCGAAAGAGGTTGGGCAGATGAAAGCTTTCACTCTTAAAGCAATATTAGTATCTTCACAAGACAGATGCCAGAGGCCATGAAGGCGGGTTCAGGAGCCCATATTGTCACTGAGGCGCGGAAATACACGGCCCTTCCAGCTGACAGCTCAGATAATTATAACAGGAAGGAGCGCTTGTTTGTTTTGTTGAGTTGATTTTATAGCTCAGGATTTGAGCACTCCAGTTTTTGAAATATTATTTTGGGACGTTATGAAACGTTCGTAGGAATAGGTGTTAACACTCCAGCCACTGCACTAGTTTTTGTTGATGACTTTTTATGGTTGAAAAGTTCTCAGAAAGAGTGCAACAAGCGGTACTGAATAATACAATAACGGAGTGTCATTACACTGTTGGCGGAGCAGGCAGCATTCGCAATTATACTAATAAAATATAATGTTAGAGCAATATTCAGCATAAAACGAGATAGCAACAATCGCCAGATTTCCTACGTCAAATGAGTATCTGACAACGAGTAATACTCACGTGATAAGTGCAACTGTCATCTAAACCTACACCCGGAAAAAAAAACGCCGGACGAGTTTTACGGGCGCAAGTCGTCCACTTCGTTGTGGGACCACGCGTCCCTTTAACTTCATTTGAATTAGGATACTTCAATAAGAGCGTTTTTTTTGCAAGATTATCGCTTTTGTGCGTAATCATAGTTAATATTTTCGAGATCTGCTTCTGCTTCGATTAGGAAACACATGAAACCTGAGGTGCAACCGGAAACTTGAGCATACCAACTGCATCTTCTAGGGACTACATCCCATCGGGTGCCACCATTTTTCGAAGTTCTGCCACTCAGCGTTGGATTTCAGCGCAGGAAGATATCTACAACCTATCTTCGGTATTCTGTGCACACAACCGCTGTCAGAGCTGTTTGCTATGTCCGGCGGGCGAAAATTTCCGACTCGCTCAGTTTTAGAGGACTCTCAACGGGAAGAACTGTTTAGTTCAGGAGAACAACAACGTCTGTTACAAATGTCTGTTACATCTAGATTCATACTGCAATTGTTCACAAGCCGCAATGGTGAAAAAAATCGAAGAGGTGAACCCAGCAAAAATACAACACCATGTTTTTAAATGCAACTGGAATGGCGAAGAGTACTGCTGCGTGGAAAGAATCAATCTCCAGGACCATTCGCAGAAGTTTGTGCTTCGAATCAACAGCAGTATAGTATATTCCACAACATAAAAACGCTCATACTTGTGTTCTCCCACCTCCTTCTGCCAGCCCGAGCACATACACATACATACTGCTGGAGCCATTCTTACTTATGAGGAAGCTCCAGAAACCACAGAGCCAAAAGCAGCACTTAGCAAAGCACGAAACCGGTAACTCAGTATCCACTTTCATCAGCCTTTCAAAGCAGAAGCAGATCTCGAAAATATTAACTATGATTACGCACAAAAGCGATAATCTCGCAAAAAAACGCTCTTATCGAAGTATCGTAATTGGGAGGTGGTCGTTTGGCGCACAGTACGGTAACTTCAGTAGGCGAGAAATCATACACCGTAATCCAAAGGAGCCGTAAATAAATCTGAATGCACACTAAGCACAGTATCTCACGACAACGACGCTAAAATTGCGTGGGTACCGCAGGTATGTGTTGTGGTTGCTGTTAGCTCGAACATTTTTGAACGTTACGGACGAAAAGAAGTAGGTGTCTATCTGGCGTTCTTAGCACCGATCGACACCTACACTAAACTCTTCACTCAGACGCTGCATTTCGCTGAGAAGATTTAAAATGCTAGGTAGATAGCTAACTTTAGCTTTCGCAAAAAATGCTCGAACGCAGGCGAGAATTATGAAGCAGCCCATCGCAACCCAGTTCAAGTAGTTTTGTCTCCATTCTCAATCAAATAAGAATGTTAAAGGTTTTAAGGACAGCACAGCTGCATCGCAATGAGGAATTTCGCCTTACAGATTACTGAACGTTGTTGCCCACTGCGCAACTTTGTCTCCTCATTTCGGCACTGGTCCTGAAATGCCTAGAGTAGTTCGAACTTCAACTGCGAGCTCATCCTTGAAGCTGTGAATAAGGCTGACTATAAATCTCGTACTCGGTACTGGTTTTTTCATCTGGATAATGTTTAACACGGTACCTCTGTAATGTGTTAAGACTCCATGTGTCGTGAGAAACACTCCAATGTCATGAGAAATTCTGTGGCACTATTGAACTATTCGTACCCCAGTCTGCCGAAATCAGGCCAGTTTTTTACCGAATTTTTTCTACAAGGGGGTTGAAAATTTGCTTATAGAGGTACTTCGATCTGAATACCTATATCACATCCACTTCTCTACAAACTGCCTGGCGTCCGCGCCAAAATATCCTGTACCACCATTCGCTGAAAACTTGTCCCTAGTGGTACTTTGACCCCTGAACATGAATATCACATCCGCTTGGGCCAAAACCGTCGCTGAGCCTTGTATACGTTATTTGACATTCTTATTACGAATA